ATAGAAACTGCTCTACTTTAATAATTCCGCTTTATTAGAAAGCCCTGTATCTGCTGAACCTTTAGTGGGGACTAGTTGAGAAGAAATGCAGGTAACTGGGAACAGGGGAAGGACCTCGTCCCTGAGGAGGCTCACTGTGAAGAGACAGTCACCATAGGTGGTGGGGTCCCCAGGAATGTGGGGAACAGGAGCCTGTGAGAGAGGAGAAGTGGCCCCTGGGGAGCTGAGGCCTTGCAGAGGGAGCCCCAGGCAGGAGGCCCCTGCCCCACCCTGCACCTGCTCCTGGCTGTGCTCTGTGCTCTGAGCCTCCTGGGCCTCCTGCTATCCTGGGCCCCTGGGTCCTGACCACGCCCCAGTGGACCCGCCCAGCCCCCTCCTGTCCCTGCAGGGTTTGTGTCTGGGCTCACACCTGCTCCCCTCACTGTGCCTCTCGCACAGTAATACACGGCCGTGTCCTCGGGCTTCAGGCTGTTCATCTGCAGATAAACTGTGTTCTTGGCTTTGTTGCTGGAGATGGTGAATCGGCCCTTCACGGCGTCCGCGTAGTATGTGCTACCACCATCAGCATAAATACTGGCAACCCACTGTAGCCCCTTCCCTGGGGCCTGGCGGACCCAGTTCATCCAGTAGCTGCTAATGGTGAATCCCGAGGCTGCACAGGAGAGTCTGAGAGACCCCCCAGGCTGCACCAAGTCTCCCCCAGACTCCACCAGCTTCTCCTCACACTGGACACCTGCAAACACAGACACAATAGTCAGGACACTTGCTGTTGGCCACCGCTTCTACCTCTCCTGTCCCCTCTCCTTCTCATGGTCTCCAACTCCGAGAGCACTGACCCTCTAGAAGAGCCAGGAGGAGCAGCCAGCTCAGCCCACGCTCCATGGTAAATTTCCACATCAGTCCTGACCCGAGTGTCCCCTGGATCCCGGCTGGGCTCCTGTGCAGAGCCGCAGGGCCGGGCTGGGCTGTTTTCAGCAGCAGGGGACGGCCCTATTTGCATGCGTCTTGCCATATAGCGGGCTCTGGCTGGAGGCTGGGACAGAGGAGCCCGGAGAGGGTCCTGGGCTTCGGGGTCATAACACATTCATTATCCGCAGGTGCCATATTAGGAGCAGAGCTGGTGACCTTTGAGCACCGGTCACTGGTTTACATGTAGGCCCAGGAGTGTCCGATGTGTTAGGTGACAATATTTCCCTTTTGAATATAGTGCTTTTTGATGTGCTGATAACTTTTTTCACTCTGTGTCTGTTTCATAGTTTGGATTAACCCCATTTGTTTATTTTTATTTCTCCATGTCTGATCCATGGGAATATCCCAAAGCCAAGCTGCAGTGTCTGGACTTTTCCTTTCCTGTGCTGATGCAGTTTATTTCCACAACCTCATAGAGGGAAGCGCCCACCTGCCCGGCGCCAGAGGCTCGGTCCAGGGAAACAGGCACATGGATGCCGGGACGCGCCGGTCAGCCGTGCGGGTCACACGCGCTGGACGGGACTTGACCCATCAGCGCCGGAGAGAAAACCTGCGCGGTGGGAGCCAAGGGAGGAGAAGCCGAAGGGCGGGAGCGTCGGGGCGGCTCAGGGCGCTGGCAGGGGAGGCGGGCCCGAGGCTCGGTGCTGGGCGCTGAGGCGGCTGTGGCTGCCGACTCCCCGTCACGCCCTGTGAGGAGCCGTCTCCTGGGCGTGTGGTTGTTCTCTCTCCCGGTGCCTCCATCGCTCTCCGTGTCTCAGCCGTCTCTGAGGAAAACCGCGGACCCGACGGCCACCAGCCTCGTCCCTGCAGACAGCGGACACACTCGGGGTCCGTCATTTTGCGTAAATCCTCTTAAAACGTGAGGAAATCCCAGCTCCCAGCTCTGGGCGACCCTGACCCTCTGTCTTGACTTCACACCGTGGCCCTGCGCCCCCTGCTGCCCCCTGTGCAGCCCCTGTCCAGCTGGGCTCCCGCCCTGTCCACCAGGGCCCCCTGCACACTTGGCTGTCCACCCCCGTGAGTGCGGCCTGCTGTCCCCCGCTGGCCCGGGCCCCGCCCTTTCAGAAAGTGGCCCTGTCCGGGCGGCTGCTCAGGTCCTCCTGCCCCGATTCAGGGTCTCTGCTCACCGCACCCCTCTCTCGTGGCCCGGCCCCACCGTCCGCACAGCTCTATGGAGGGCGCTGGACCAGGCGTCCCCTCCCCTAGACGTGCTACTGCTCCCGGGATCCCGCATTGGGGACAGATGACTGTCAGAAGCTTCCTGCCTTTTCGGGGTCCTCTTTGGTGGCTCAGTTCTGGCCTCACCCACTCCCGAGGGGGCTGGCTGGCGCCGCCCAGTGGCCACATGCGGGATTGCAGGCGCCACTGAGGCCCAATGGGGGGAGGGTCTTGTGGACCAGGACCCCTAAATCCCTCAGCGAAATGAAGACGCTGGGGCCCGGTGTCCTCTGGAAGGCGGGCGCACAGCGCTCAGCGAGTGTCCCCAGACGCCCTCTCTATTTCAGCCATCGGCCCCGTGGGTCCCGTTCCCGGAGGAGGCCGCCGGCCCCACGGGTGAGCGGCTCGCGCGGACAGCGCCTGGTGCTGAGCCCATCACATCTGGCAGCGACCTGGCCGACGCGATTCTCCCACCCAGAGCAGCCCCCGGTCTCCTTGCCTGGCCATAGCCTGTGCCCTTTGCTGTGGACCACTCAGCCCGGGACGAGGCTGCCCTGGCCATCCACAGGCGCACCCCTGGGGAGATGAACCCCGAGAACCTCCTCCTGTGTTGTGACCCCCATGCACTGAGGCCTCAGCGGGCCTCGCCCTGCGCCCGCGTCCAGCTCTGTCTACACCACTGCTGTGCCGCCGCTGGGCAGGGTCAGTGTAGTCTTGGACAGAGGGAGAGAGAAGCTTGGGCCTGAGAGTGTCCTGGGCTTAGCCTGAGACAGGGCCCAGCGGCCAGGGCAGGCGGCCGTGAGGGACGTGGAGCCCAGAGGGTGGAGCCTCAGCCGGGCTGTGTGATGTGGCCGCGAGGCCCACTGAGCCAGGCCAGCGGCTCCTCCTCGGGCTCCCGTCCGGGTCACTCCGGGCTGACTGGGGGAACCGGCTGACCAGTCGCGGTCAGGGTGCCCGTGTTGGGGAAGGAGCCTGGATGCTCCGTGTTCATACGACAGGAGGCGCCACCTGCCCTGGACCCCGACCTGGGTCACCCCACTGCTTAGCAGCTGCCGGCCTCATGGGAGGTCACTGCTGCCCTTCTGACCAGCCCTGAGCTGCGAGCACAGCTGAGGAGGACGGTGCTCTGAGGAGGGCCAGAGGGGACCCGGGTGCTGCAGGGCCAGGAAGGTCAGGGGCTCGGGACGTCCAGGGACATGCTGGCTGCCAGGTGGAGGGCGCCTGAGGGTTCCCATGGGGAGGGCGTCTGGGGACCCATGATGGGAGAGTCAGGGCTCTCAGGGGAGCAGAGGCGACTCCCGGAGTTGGGGACTGAGGACCAGGAGGGCCAGGACTGGCCCTGTGAGCCCATCACCGCACGACCTGTCCCCTGCTGTCCTCTCCTGGCACCTCAGTGGTGGGGACAGGACATCTCAATGCACAGTGTGTCGGTGTGTTGTGGCCAGTGTGAAGGGGCCTGTTGGGGGGCCTCTGGGGCACCTGTCTGTGGTCTTGGCACCAGGTCTCTGGCTGCCCCCTGCACCGCCCACGTCTCAGCATAAGGTGCCGTAGGGCGGCTCCGGCGTCTCTCCAGGTGGCCAGTCTGCAGTGACCATGGCCCAGAGGGACCCAGCGGCTCCCTCCTTGGTGCGTTTGGGTATGTGTGGAAGACAATGTGGTGTGGGGTGCTCAGAATATAATGAGGCAATATGGGACCTCCAGGGGTCCCTAACTTTGTCACCAGCAGGGTTTTGACTGGTTTCTTCAGTGCTTACTGTGTGTTGGGGGTGAGGTTGCTGGAATTTTCTGTCTTGGAGCACTGAGTGGACACTGTCACCTGTGCCAGGCCAGAGTTCTCTGACCTGGACACGGGGATGAGGAGCCAGGGTGTTCTGTTGTGAAGGTTCCTGTCCCAGGGGAGGTGTCACTGTGACAGAGTAAACTCTTCCTTGGAGCGCCCCAGGAATGTGGGTAACCTGCGGAGATGTGGTGACCTGGGGAGCTGAGTCCTTGCTGAGGGAGCCCCAGGCAGGAGGCCCCTGCCCCACCCTGCACCTGCTCCTGGCTGTGCTCTGTGCTCTGAACCTCCTGTGCCTCCTGTTGTCCTGGGCACCTGGGTCCTGACCACGCCCCAGTGGACCCACCCAGCCCCCTCCTGTCCCTGCGGGGTTTGTGTCTGGGCCCACACCCGCTCCCCTCACTGTGTCTCTCGCACAGAAATACACGGCCGTGTCCTCGGGCTTCAGGCTGTTCATCTGCAGATAAACTGTGTTCTTGGCTTTGTCGCTGGAGATGGTGAATCGGCTCTTCACGGCGTCCGCGTAGTATGTGCTACCACCATCAGCATAAATTCTTGCAACCCACTGTAGCCCCTTCCCTGGGGCCTGGCGCACCCAGTCCATGCTATAACTGCTGATGGTGAATCCCGAGGCTGCACAGGAGAGTCTGAGAGACCCTTGAGGCTGCACCAAGTCTCCCCCAGACTCCATCAGCTTCTCCTCACACTGGACACCTGCAAACACAGACACAGCAGTCAGGATATTGGCTCTCAGCCACTGCTTTCCCCCTCCAGTCCCCTCGCCGCCTCGAGGTCTCCTGCTCGCCAGGACTGACCCCCTAGAAGAGCCAGGAGGAGCAGCCAGCTCAGCCCACACTCCATGGCGAGTGTCCACATCTGTGAGGACCCAAGTAGATCCTGGATCCCGGCTGGGCTCCTGTGCCGAGCCGCAGGGCCGGGCTGGGCTGTTTTCAGCAGCAGGGGACGGCCCTATTTGCATGTGTCCTGCCATATAGCAGGCTCTGGCTGGAGGCTGGGACAGAGGAGCCCAGCTAGTGCCTGGGGATGTTGGGTTATAACACAGTATGCGCAGGTGCCTCATTAGGGACAGAGCTGGGTGATCACTGAGCACCTGTTACCTGTTATGACAAGGGCCCAGGTGCTTGTGCTCACATGTGAGTGGGGGTCTTCAATTTTATAGTTCTCTAGGTTTTGGTTTCGCCCTTTGTCTGAACGATTATGTGCTCATATTATCTTGCATCCTGTAGGTGTGTTTGTTATATTGATAATTCCTTTCCTGTATAGAGCATTCAGCTACATCTAATCCTATTTATTTATATTAATTTACCTACTCTTGCCATAGGAGGACCATTCCAAAGACATCACGAAGCCAATCCTGGGGTGATGAGCCTCTATTTGTGCCTTGATGTGGCATTTCCATGCCCAGCTATGGGAGCCACCCATGGCAGAGGCATTGTTAGCAGGAACTGAGGTGTGTTGATATTACCATCCTACCTGCCTAAGTAAAGAACAAATCCTGAAATTCGAAACTTGTGGATAGAAGTGAGGGCAATTATACTCAGAGAACTCATCAGGAGGAGAAAGTCCTCATGACTGGAACATGGA